AATATGAATAAGGAAAGTTGCAAAGGGGATTTGGTAGCCAGAAATAGCCTATACAATTCGCTTCCCATAATCTGAGTTACAACCCGCCTTTTATAGGCGTATACAAATCGTAACTGCTACCGATAATAATGACTAATTAATTACAACATTAATACGGAATTAAATACATAATTAATAGTGCATTAATTGTTTGACCGTTACTCTTTCGCGTTGGGAGGTCGACTGGACTGGCAGGTTCCCCGTTAGGCTGGCAGGCAGGCTCCAGGTTGTGGACTTGGATCCACGGGTCCAAGTTCGGGGCTTGGGCTGATTAGGCTTCGGGCCTAGTCCCATTACTCCATCAACACCCAACACTAACACTGTATTTCAAAAAAATCTCAATTTGACTTATCACATTTATTAAAAAGTGAAAATAAATTTGAAATGCATAATTATAATTAATTAAGAAAAAGATAAATAAAAGTTAATGGAGCAAATCGTTCTATAAAGAAAAGTGGGAAAACAATTTTGCCGTATTGTTTCAGTTTAATTTAACCTCCACCGCGCAATTGCGCACCCTTAACCGGAGCGGAGACTTGGCAATTTTGAAGAGTTTTGTGGGACCAGCTTCACGTGTCCAGTGCACCGGCGGCATGCCAACATGTTTGAAGTGGACCCCACTGCCTCTGTGCCGCACGTGCATCGGCATTTCACGTGGGCCTCATCCTTATCTTGCATCCATCGCTTCAAACTTCAAACCGCAAGCGAAGACAAATTTGCTTCACATTATTTATTGTTCACGAAAATTAATTTGACAATCCCACTTTTATTATTAGATTAGAGAAAACTCCACTTATGTAAAATTCAACCATTTGATGGAATGGTTAGAATTATATGAGCAATTTATATCAATAATTATCCGTTAATTGCCATTTCTTTATTGATTCAATAGTTCACATTAATTTAATGAGTCCAAACGATCCTTTTTATTGTACCAATAAAAACAACAATGGGTTACGTGCACTAAAGCATCAGATCCTATTATCAATTACCGACAAAAGACCAAAAATACATACAATTTGCATACATCGTATTTAATAGGTCACCATCTAGTTGAGTGGTGATGTGGGGTGTGCTGTGTAGCAACAATATGTCATTTCGTAATTGTGAACATTTTTATTTTTATTAAAATTAGAGCTGTTTACCATAAAAAAAATTAATTCCGTATTTTCTTTTAATTCAATCATAGATTAGTATAAACATGGTGTTTTTCTTCTAATCTTTCAAAATTCAAACATGTCTTTTGTGAGTTTTGTAAACTAATTATAAAAATGTCACCTTGTTGATTTTTTTGGGGTCCCGGAGCAAACCACCCTTGGTGGAGGAAGTGCCTGAGAACACTTTCCAAATTTATTTATAAAAGTTTAAAGATACAAGGAATTTAAAAATACATGAGTTGAAAGAAAAGATACATAGAAAAAAGAGATACACTAGCAATTGAAATTTCTAGCTAATTGGAATTCCAAGTGTAGCTGATATATTCTTGTTGTATTTGCTATGGAACCTAGTCTCGTTCTTCAAATATGGTTGATAAGTTTTGGCATTCGGCTGTGTAGCTTTATATTTCTTGAGAGCCGCATCTAATTTGTGTGGTGAGTCGAATCTTGCATCTACAGGGTATAAGAAGTAGTCGGTTTCATATCTGGGTTTCTTGGAGTGACTTCTAGTTGCCATGGGGTGGGAAGATAATCTCACCTCATAGCAGTGGCGTATCCAGGAATTATTGTGAGTAGGGGCGAGTTCAAACTACTCTCCCCGACCCACAAAATTCTTCTCACTTATCTTTTTAGGATGTTCGAAAAAACAGTTTTCTCATTTCCTTTTTTTGAAAAATTTTGTGTGGCTAACATTCGTTTACACACTCAACTACAATCATACATTTGCATTCTATTCTAATTTTCTTAAACTTTGATCTAAGTCAAATCGAAAAGAAATTTATAAGACGGTGGGAGTACATATTATTTCAAGCATGTCACAAGCAGCTGAACACTTTAAGAAAAATAGTACAAAATCCATTATAAATAAAAACTAATCGGTCAGCTAAAAAATATGAAATCATGGCTAATAAATTTGACACAAAAAATTATTTTTTTGATGTTATGTTAATAAATAAATAACTTCAATAAGGGACGGATAGTGTATGTATTTAGAAAATGTAAATTGTGAATGCATAATTATATCTGAATTTATGTCAAGTGTAAATGTAATGAAGTATATTATAACTCTAATAATTTAATGAAGTATAGATTAAAAATATAATTGTATGTACATATTGAGTCAATTTGAATTTGTTTAATACTTGAAAAAAGAAAATAAGGAAGATAATGGATTGAAAACTAAAATTTGGAACAAAAAAATGGAGGAAGGATTCAAACCTTTAACCTAACGGTAACAAAGGGACATCCAACGCACGCGGCTCCATTTCCACCCCACTAGACTGCTCTTTTGTTACAAATTCCGTAATTATGGTATATATTATATATATTCAGCACAAAAATATATGCATAATTGAATTTTTAAATATATATATGGGGTTGGGTGGGGGTTGAGTGGGGGCAGTTGTCCTCTGCCCCCACCCTGGATACGCCACTGCCTCATAGTATAGTTGAGGGTCCTCTCGAATCGATTTAATTTATTGACATTGCTTTTCCTGTTTCTCACCTCATAGTATGTCACCTTGTTGATTTCGAAAGTTAATTTGAAACTAAAATATGAAGATTAAACGTTCTTTTATAACATTTTCTCATTTTAAAAGGGTCTCTCGCAAATTGAATTTCAGAAAACTTTGTGTTAATAAAATAGTACACAACTTTGATCGCTAATAATATTGTGATAGTTCGCTAGAACCCCTATAAATGTTTGTGCGCGTGTGTGTCTGAATTTCAGAACACCTTATGCTAATAAAATAGTGCACAACTTTGATCCTTACAAATCTTGTGAATAATTACGTTAGATTATGAATTATCTTGTGTCTGATGATCTCCCAAAGAGAAGGTTATAGATTCGATCTCAATAACACAGATCATATAAATAATCATCTTTTAGACATATTAAGTTGTCACCTGTATTGATGTGCTATATAACACTGATCATATACCTCGATACAAACCATATCAAATAAAGATTGTGCTTTTAGCCTATACAAGGATAATATTTCAAAGAATGATTTTTTCATCTTCTCACATTATCATTTAATTTCCCTTTTTTCTAGTTCCATCTCCTCTCGAGTAGACTAACAATTACTCCAGTTCTTGAGTTTTATTTTGTTTTGTCCAAACTCATAAAAAATGGTATTGACGACCCAACGTACGATCCCAGGGTGCAAATGAGTTTTAAGAAACATAGTATTAATGATACACCAATCCCTCGGACCCCAGGGTGATTGTGAACAAGTTCTACATGATTCAATTAATCCATTTATTATTCAATTCAATGATCAATAAATTCATGCAAATCTTGTTAGTAAATTCATAAGATTTCACTTAGTTTTCGAATATAATGATTATTGAAAGTCATATCATAGAACATCTTCATGTAGGATTCACACAAATTTGAACATTTATGCCTACCCAACACTTCATAGCTGTTTATTATGAATACACCAACGTTTTTTTATAAGAATATTACTAAAATAAAACATATTTACATAAATATGACTATTCATTACTATAATGTGATGTTGTGGTAATTTAAGCTCAAAACTTGAACATAAATTACTATGATTTCATTACTAATCTAGTCATTAGTCATATTTTTGTAAATCATCTTTATTTTGGTCATATTTATGTAATTATTTGATAGACCTAACGATTCAATCAAGAGGTCTCACTTGTCCTGATTCTTTTGTAAGATCAAAATAACTTATAATTATAATTTTGAGTTATGAGAATGTAACTTCATTGGTAGGGAAGTAACATTACTTTCATTAATCAAAACATGATTCAGAAATATATTTACACATGACTAACGAAGAATATACCAAATAGAGTAGAGCTATTAATACAATTCGATTTGCATATAACCTATATTGAGAAGAGCTAATAATACAATTAGAGAATAGAGATCCTCGATTTCTATATTTTCAGAGCTAAACGTTTTCTTTTATATTTATACTACGTATTTTTCTTGTTTTTATGTAATTTATTTATTTATTATACGTAGTACGTAGTACATTTATTTTTGTATCATTTTTACTTTTAACCAGACTTTGTAGGCATTCCTTTTAGAGCCCGTTTGGTGACTTTGTTTTTCGATTTATCAGGTTTATCAGCCAACTTTTTAACCAAACACGTAACTTTTGATTTCGCAAGCTGAATAGTGTAATAATAAGAAAAAGTAAGGTTGAAGTTACTTTTCTGTGTGTATTGGGTGAAGTTACTGTAGATGACTATTTTAGCTATTTTTTCATATAATTTTTTGTTTGTTATATTAATAAAATATATTTTAAATATAATTTTTTCATAAATCGGCAGAATCAACCAATACGGCTATTTCACCTAGAACTTCAGAAATTTCAACAGCATCAGCTCATTCAGCCAATTTCTGTGTTACCAAACGAGCTCTTAGATATTGAACTTTACACCCTATAAATAAATAATGGGAGAATTCAATAAATAGGAGTAAAAAGTTTTGAAATTTCAAAATAGGAGTATCATGTTTTTTATTCCTTGAATATGAGTAAATTTCTGCCAAGTTTGGCATTACTAGCTTTAAAACATGGCATTTTCTTCCAAACTCGGCAAATTACTCCTATTAAGGGAATAAAAAACATGATACTCCTATTTTGAAATTTCAAAACGTTTTTGCTCCTATTTAGAGTAATTTCTAATAAATAATCGGATTAATGTGTTTAACTTTTGAGTTTGGGGTTGGAATTCGAAACATTTCAAAATATACTACAGAATAAAAATTAAAGTAAACATGTGGGGCAAGTTGAAATCTTCCCAAATTATATGCATCCTTCTCCCGTGAATAATGGGTAGGAATGCTCGTCTCTTTTGGCACTGTAACCAAAATCATCATCTAACGCTCCTGTGAAAATGAGATTCTAAAGTCAGTAACTCTCCCGCAGTCGGTGCCGTTCTTCATACTTTTCCTTCTCTAAGAAGTGTTCGTACGCCGGAGGGAATGACGTCTCCCGGCGGGGGATCATCGGCGCGGCTTCCGACGTGGAAAGAGAGAGAGAACAACAAGCGGAGAGAGAGGAGACGGCGAGCCATAGCGGCCAAGATTTTCTCCGGGCTTAGAGCTCAGGGAAACTTTAAACTTCCTAAGCACTGCGATAACAACGAGGTCTTGAAGGCTCTCTGTAGAGAAGCTGGTTGGGTTGTGGATGAAGATGGCACTACCTATCGCAAGGTTATAATTTCAGTTTCGTTTATTCTTTATTCTAATGCTTCTAGCATTTCTGATCTCAGATCTTTGCGAATTGCAAGTTTCCCTTTATAATCAAAATATGATTTTTGATAGTTGAGGTGAATTGGAGCTGCGGGAGCAACCTAAAATAAACATAGATGTGCTTTAGTTTTTAAACATTTTTAATTTAGAGGTATACTCGTGCTTAGCCCTCCCTCGTATAAATAGTCTTGCTCGCTAGATGTTTGATAGGAATCCTCTCAGATTAATCTGTGCGAAGCAATAACCATTGGGCGGAATTAGGATTCCACCCGTTGGCTCCATAAAATCCTTTCTTTTACTTCCAAGATGCTGACTTTTTCTTTATGGTGGTCCACAACGAGATCTCCAGTTGAGTTCATGGTCTGCCAAATCTCTCTGCACCTGAAGAGGGATGCATATTTTGTATCCCTTTCTTGGTTCAAGGAATGCTACTTACCCGACAACAACAACATCCAAGCCTTAGTCCCATAAGATTACTCTGATGGGGTCAACGAATAGTACTTGATGCAAAGAAATAGAATTAGTCGATCCTTGTAAACAAAGTTAGTGTAAAAAGTTCTAGTCCGGACTAACTGGTACTAGACAGGGTAGAATTGAGCAGACATAAGACAGCACCGTGCCAATGTATTTGAATTTGTTGCATTATTGATGTGAATGAATGTGTGAATAATGTACTTCCTTTAGAAGTCACTCTATGGAAATGCTAACTGTTCTTATAATCTGTCATACAGGGACAAAGACCATCTCCAAATGAGATTATGGGAATCTCAACAAGCATAAGCGCATGCTCTTCAGTCCAGCCCAGCCCAATGTCATCATCCTTCCCCAGCCCGGCACCTTCTTACCCTGCCAGCCCTAGTCGGAGCCCTGCTCGAGGTGATACCAATCCCCCGTCCTACATCCTGCCCTTCCTCCAAAACTTGTCTTCTGCTCCATCTTCTTTGCCTTCACTACGTATATCCAATAGTGCCCCTGTAACCCCTCCTATTTCTTCTCCCACCAAAGGGCCAAAGCGGAAACCTTTATTAGAGCCTCTCTCCAACATTCCGTTCTATGCTTCCCACCATACATTCTTTACTTGTTCTGCACCATCAAGTCCCACCAGACGCCAACATTGTAAACCGGCTACAATTCCAGAGTGTGATGAGTCTGATGTGTCAACAATTGATTCTATTCGTTGGGTCACCTCCCAGACAGGGTTTCCCTTTGTTGCCCCAGCATCCCCCACTTTTAACCTCGTAGAACCGTTTTCTCAGCAGATCAATCTAACTGCGGTCGATGGGCACGGTGACTTTGATTGGGTAGGAGCAGCTAAAAGGGCACGGTGTGCTGAGTTTGATTTTGAAAATGGAAAAGTGAAGGCATGGGAGGGTGAGAAAATACATGACATTGGTAGGGATGGTTTAGAGCTGACACTTGGGAATGGAAAAGCTACCGCTTAAGCCTCCTACGAAAGAAAGAGATTCTGTTGGTGGGTTTCTTAAGCCCTAATGTTCTTGACAAAACTGCTAGCTTGAATGCTCTTTCTATTTTAGTGCAATATAGTTGAGCATCGTGCTTGAAGCCACCTGTTGTTGCTTCTACTTCTTATGTGGACTGTCGGGCATCCTCTCAAATGTACAGTAATTCACTTACTGTGCTAAGTGTCTCCTTATGTGATCTAAATGGTTCACTTTATTACTCCATGTGAGATGAAATTATGAATGGATGATATGTGATGATGGTGGCTTTGGACTATTTCTCATCCACTTCTTTATTAACTTTGTTTAGATGTTTTCTTTTGATATTTCTAGTTGCTTGAAGACCTTTAGGTCATATACAGCTCACTTTCAAGTGACTTATTTGGGCCATTAAGACATTTCAAGATTATTTCTCGCTCACATTTGTAATGAGACATGGAAATAGTATTGATTTACTGATAATTTTTCTTGTAGAATATCTTGGTCGAGCACTTTTGTGTTTTTATTATTGGTTCCTAATAAATTTATTAGGTTACTGAATATAGCTCAAACTTTGAGTACCTCCGGTAGGTTTATGCTGAAACTGTGCTCAGAAGAACTGAATCACAGTGAATAGCCAATGACATTAGTACACAACCTTTGGTTCGTTATCCGTGCTGTTTTTCTGGTATGACCATTATACACAAGTACTTGATTTATACCTCCTTTGATCCAAAAAAGATGGAATCTCTCACCCCCAGGAGCCCCCCACCCTGACCTGACAGGATGGTGGGGAGGTTAGTCACGGTGACTTAGTCATCAGAATGACAGTAGATCCATACACCCGTGCGCACCAGAGGCCCAGTCTTATTTCAGGTTCTGTGACCTCCACCCGGTCGCTGCGGGGATTCGAACCTTGGTCCATTGATCCAAATCTCTCACCACTCGAGCAACTGAGCTACCCGTGCGGGTTTACTTGATTTATACCTCCTATTTCAACCTTTTGCCAGCTACTGGGGGAGTACTTATCTTCTAACTTCTTTGAAAGTGCATATGCGTTGGTTCTTGTGCAATACCTTTTCGTTCTATTAGATCAACAAGGTCTTTACATTAGGGGTGGACTCGGGCCGGGCCAACCGGCCCGGAACCGGACCGGCCCGCTACTGTGAGGGCCCGGCCCGGCCCGGTGAACCGGTTTCGAGCCCGGTTCGGGCCAACCGGCCCGTTGGGATGGCGGTTCGGGCTCGGGCCCTTCAAAAGGTGAACTGGCCCGGCCGGGTCGGGCCTTTTTTTTTTTTGAATTTTTTTTAAGTTTTTGGGTTGAGCTGGGTATTTTGGGCCATTTGAGGTGGTTAGGGTTGGTTTGGGGGTGATGAGGAGGGTTGGGGGTTAACTAGGAAAAGCCAAAAAAAAAATTAGAAATGAGGCCCGGCTCGGCCCGGCCCGGACCCGGGGGTTACCCGGGCCGGTTCCGAGCCTCCCCTTCTTGAACCGAAGCCCGACCGGGCCCAGGCCCGAACCAGGCCCGAACCGGAACCTATCCATGCCTACTTTACATACAGTTGAGGAAGTTGGTCGCCGTGAGCATAATCATAGCTCCAGAAGATGAAGTTGACTCATCAATGGTCAATGGTCATTTTCATCTTCTATAAAGTTTTGTTTTTCTATTTGAGAAAAATGGGAAAATATTTCAAAAAGCGGGCAACACTGGTCCGTTCGGGAAACATAGGATAGGCAGGTTTGTGGTCAATATACAACTCCGAAAAATTATAGGTGACAATCACGGAGTATAACTTTTAAAATATTGAGTGACAAATTACAATTTTTTCAAATCATAAAATTGACTGGTGACATGGTAGGTGACGCGACGTTGACTGGTGGCTTATGAAGTGCTGATGCGGCAACTGATGCTGGAGCACAACATGCGGATGACGTGGATGGCACACGGGCAGGCTGTGTGGCGCTCATGTGTTGCTGACATAAGCGCTGATGCAAACATCTTCTTCCTCTTGATGGTGCGTGGGGCATGTGTGCCTTCGTGCCAACGGATGGGTGGCATGTGCAGTGGTTTCTTGTGGTTGCGGAATAAATGGACCAAACCAGTATGATTGAAAAATACTTCTATTACTCTCAATAACAGAAAGAAGAAAGAAGAGATGTACGAACCCTAACAATAAATCTTAAAAAAAGTGCTCACAAATCTCTCAAATATATTACACAACTCTTTTCGGTTGTGTTGTGAGAGAACCAATCTAATAATCTAATGATGAAGATAGATGGGAAAGCTTTACAAGCTTCTTTATTTATAGGAGCACAACTAGGTAAGAAAAAGCTACGAGCCTACTAGGAAACTTTACTGGTGATTGAGAGGAAGGTGATTTCAAAGTGTGAGAATTATACCTTATCATTCATAGATTTGGAGGAAACTTCATAGAAGTTGAATTCTTCATGTATGATGAGTATAACCGAGTGTGGGAATTGTTGAAGGCATGCAGATGATGTGCTTTCAGAGTGCTAGTAAAGTATATTCATCCTTTGAGGATAGTCAGGAATCTATTGGTCCTAAATATGTTTCACTTGTAAGCACGTTAGCACGTAGATATGTTTGAAAACATTTAGACTTGGGAGGAACGTGACAACAGAATAGATGTGAAGGCATTAAAAAATGCTATATTAAAACATGAACTACTCCTCATATAAGGTTGACCTTTTAGGATGGAACTTCAGATCTTAACATGATATCAGAGCCAAATCAATCTATGTTGTGAGTCCCCCTTAAAATGATTGACACGATTATAAAAAAAGTGATGACAATAACGAATCGATGAAAAAATGAATGACGACACGATACAAATAAAGTGTCTGGTCGTGAGGAGGGGTGTTGAATTCCCACACTGGATACTTGTGAAATTATTAAGTGCTATATTAAGACATGAGCTCCTCCTCCTATCATGTTGACCTTTTAGGATGGAACCTTAAGTCTTATCAAATGGTAAGTCTTTATTTGTTGTATAATAAATAAAAATAGATATAATATTATGCAACATAGGATAAGTAGTGAACTTGATATCCCTATAGAGCATCCTTAATATTTTCTTCCACGACAATTTCACTAATAGGACCGTACGTGTATGATAGAGTGGCTATTGGCAATTTTACCCTAAACATTGATAGCTAGAGTTCAATCCAGTTCAATAATAGTGGCATTTGAGCTCGAGCTCGAAAGTCGTCGAGCTTTACAAACGGGCTAGAGTTTAGATTATTCAACAAGTGCTCGAAATTTATACGCCCACAGTAAAGATGTTTAAATTTTAACACATAACTTTCGGGTGTTCGATAGTCTCAAAATCAAATCAAGCCGAATATTATGATGTTCAAGTTTGGCTCGATTAAGTGTTCGAACTTCAAACCTGGATCATGCCCGACCTAGAAGCTCATTTAGCTCGCCTTGTTAGGTTCGAAATGGAACTCGAACCCTTCAAAGTTGATAGTGTTTAAAAAATGTGCTATTGAATAGGTAAAAGTTTGTAGTATTTGATAAACAAAAACTTTTTTGGTATTATAGAAAAAGTTAAATGCAATTAAAATATCATTTAAGCATAAAATGTCAATTTAAAACAGTTATTTCAACTTTTTTTGACCCAAAAGCTCCAAAACACTTTTATAAGTTTTTGCTAATTGGAATTTGCTTCGTGTATACGCCTGGTTACACGCCGGCTTACACGTCCAAGTGTAATTGTCTATACATCGACAATTACACTTGGGTTTTAGTTAGGGTTGGACTAGGCCCGGGTCAGACCGGGCCCCGAGCTGGGATTTGGGCGGGACTGGGTTTGGGAATTGAAGGCCCGGTACCGGCTGGGGTTGGTTCTGGGCCCGGCTCGGGTCTAGTTTTTTTTTTTTAATTTGGTTTTTCTTATTTATTCCTACTCCCCAAACCACCCAGCCCCACCCGCTTAGCACCCAATCCATTCGGGGAAAAAATATTTGGGCACGGACAGGCCGGTCCGGTCCATCAAATAATAATCCATTGGCCGGTATTACTTTAACGCCTATTGTTTTATGATGTTTGAAAGGTCTTTTTGTTTTCAATTATTACAAGTGGCTTTCAAATGTGAGAAAATTCTGAGAGGTGCTATATTTTGTCAAATAGAAACTCACTTTAATACATAAAATAACATTGAGGTATCCCTTTTGGTTAAAAAGCCTGATTTATAGTAACAAAAGTTAACATTATGTTCAATTGTTCAAAGGTATGATCTTGAAAGGAGGGAAAAAGTAACCTGCTGTCTCTCATAACTGATATACAGATTGTAACATGCAGCAATTTGACCTTCAAAAAAAAACTTCATCACACAAAAGAATCAAGTACCTCAAAAAGTAACATGTATGATGTACTGCAAAATATGTCTTCGAAAAAGAATGAATCATATTACAACCTTTTAGACAAAACCGAAGAAAGATGAGAAATATACATTTTGTGTTCTTTTTTTAGAAAGAAGAATATATCTGCATCTTAATGGGCAGTCATTAATTAACTAATAAATATGGACCGTATATAGGACACCACCTGAGCAAGAGGAACAAATCTGAAGGAAACAATCTAAGATCTCAACCGTGGACCAGCCTCTTAGTAACAGCAGCCATATACCTTCCCTGATGTTCCGCCAGAGCAAGCTCAGTCTCAGTAGGTTCTCGTGACCCATCGCCAGCAAAAACCCCTGCACCATAGGGGGATCCGCCTCGAATGGAGTCCATTTTGAACATACCAGCCCCAAATGTGTACCCGATTGGAACGAAGAGCATGCCATGATGTGCTAACTGTGTGATTGCTGTCCAACTGCAAAATTACAAATTCAACTGAATATCATCAAAACTTTACATTTCTCAATCTTCTTTATGAGTGAAAAGACTGAAAGTTATGCATTCCAAAATGTCAAAGTTCTCCTTTGGATTGGCTTTGGATCCCAGGAATGCCGGGATTTTCTACAACCAAGTGGGATACCCCATTTGTATTCAGAAAATTGAGAAACTTAGGTATGACTGAGTACATAAGTACGAGTTAAATCTCACGTCTTGAGAGTTCTTTTGAGGTGAGTTAGTTCAATTTGAATAGGGACAGTCCAGGTGTTCTCTCCCCTTGGGGTTTGGATCAATTTGATGGCTCTGAACACGCTTGGGCTACGAATGTCGAGGCAATTACTCAAATGTGAGATGCGCCCCGTTTTTGGGATCTATTGCGGCGTGATTTAACAATTCTCTAGAATCAGCAATTCTAAGAATCTGAGGAACTGTATGCCTTAGGTTTTGGCTAATTCCAAAGAATCGGGTGATTTCTCATCATTCTAAAAAATCCAATTCTAAGTACCTCCATTTCCAGTAGTTCAATTCCGATCATCAAACCGATCAAAACAAGCCAATGCTGCATGCCTATATAATTAGGTTTCAAGCATCAAATCCCTTCCCCAACCCCCAACTACCTCAGAGAAAAGCTTTCTACTACACTTTCATAACATTCATGACCTACCATTCTTTACCAACCAGTTTCAACATATCAACTTCAAGCGGCATGAAAGAATGGCAGATTGGCTCTTTGGATGCATGCTTATTACATGTTTATAGACAAGTTCTATCAGTATTTGGTAAATTTAACAATCGAACTACAGTAGTGCCAATTTTCTTGAGTTATGACTTATGAGGCATATATCCCCAGGATGGATTAACAATCAATCTAACTACCGCAAGGAATACTATCTACTATGTAACTATGTGACTCACTCGACATCTTGTGGTGTATATTATGTCTTCTGTATACAATTCTCTATAAAATAAGGGAAGTGCCAGGTAAATCATCCATTTCAAACCACCATGAGATCAAAAATCAAAGAATTGTGCTACAAGTAGTTAACAACTTAACAAAATGAGAAGATAGCATTATAGCATCAATTATCTCGCATTATATGTTACACACGGAGTATGATTTATTATTGCCTTGTTGAGCAAGACAAACCATCGTATTGAAGAAACACAGTTGTTTGGGGAGAAATGTAAAGTTAAGTTTTTTAAACAGTCAACTGATTAGTGTGAGATCGGGGGAGGGGGGGGGGGGGGGGCTGACTAACTAATCTGTGGATCCAAACATTTCAAGATATCAAATCTATAATTTGATGAACTTCATCACCAGAAAACTAACCCTATGTACACATATCAAGTCAGATTTCTAGAAAGGACTTGATTTGATATTCAATTTAAGATAAAAACAAAAAAAAAAACGCTTTTTCACAAATCCAAATCCAGTTTTTTCTGAACAAAAAAGTAGTATCTTAAGTTTGACTTTTTTACTATGTTAAAAAGCTCCCTACCTGTTACAAAAGTATATCCTTAGCTATTGAAGGTCAGACAACAGAAACATTCATGAAGATTTACACTTAGAATGCGCATGTGAGGTCAACCAATACAGAATAGTCATCAGATTAAAATGGTGATCATGAAATTTCCAAGTTGAGGACTCCACCATATGCATTGAATATTGTGAATGGACCAACCAATATATATTTGAGATCAAATAAAAAGATCAAGATATAATGAATAATTAGTAAGAAATAGCCTTCAAATAATTGAAATTTATTTACGAAGTACTAGTATATATCAAGAAGAGCTTACGCAGTTGTTTCTTGTCCACCTCCTTGAGTCCCGGTACTTACAAAAAACCCTGCAGGTTTTCCGGAAAGCTTCTGCTCCTTCCATAACTGCCCCGTAGAGTCAAAGAATGCTTTCATTTGGGCAGCCATGCACCCATATCTCGTCGGAAAACCAAACAACAACCCGTCAGCGGCAGCCAGCTCAGCGGCCGAGGAAATCACAGGGATTTCACCGTCCTTGGCCGGGGCGCGCATTTGACTGAGAACCTCATCGGAGAGGGTCTCAGGGACTCTGTAAAGCACGGCCTCAACGCCGTCCACGGCGTCCACTCCCTGCTTCATTCTTCTCGCCAAGCCCTCCACGTGGCCGTACATGGAGTAGAATACGATGAAGATTTTCAGATTCTGAAGGGTTGGGTTTAAGGTCCCGGCAGATTCGGCGCCGATTGCGGCGGTGGTGGAGCTGGGCTCGCCGGAAACATTGGTTTCTGGCGGCAGAGGTGGTTTGGATCGGCTGCTGGAGTTGGTTTTGGTGAGTTTATTCTTGCTGGGAACACAGCCGCCTCCTTTCCCCATCAGTCCGGCCGATTCAAAATCTGATCCGGTGTGAAAACAGAGAAGTCTAAGGTAGAATGTTGATCAGGGATTAGGATTTTAAAAGGGGATTAGATGATGGGGGCGACGAAGATGGAGTTTATTTGTTGAATGCATACGTTGACCAGCACGCTTATTATATGATGATATATCATGATTACGGTACGAAAAAAAGGAACCTTTTGTTCGCAAATTCTATAAACAATTGCGAAAAAAAGAACCTTTTGCTCACAAATTCTATAAACAATTAGCAAGATCTAAGGATGTTTTTACTTGGACGGTAATTCGTCCCACACCAGACCAGATCAGATCAGACCAGTTCAGACCAAATCAGACCAGACCAGACTTGGATAGTTATAAAAATACAAAGATACCAGACCAAACCAGACCATACCAGACCAGATCAGACCAGACCAGCCAGACCAGCAAATTACAGTCCAAGTAAAAACATCCTAGGTCACGATAACTCAATCAACATAGGCTTAACTTTGTACTCGTATACCCAGAGGTCCAACACAGCTTACAGAATTGTAACTTTCACAAAGTTGTTGCGGGTTATGATCCTTAGTTAATGACAAATGTCGTAAACGAAAAAATGTTATTAGGAGGTTTTAACTTTTTTACAAATTAGCTGAGTTAAGAGAATTTTCATTTGAGAAAAAATCATTTAATTTTTTTTTTGTAACTCGGAAGGTAAACCATCAAAATCGGTGAGGTAAATGCCGGAAAACATTTATCAAACTAAGTTTGGTGGGTCAGTGGTTTGAGACTTTGAGGGTTGAGGGAACTAATCATACAAATTCATCTCTGTTGTAAAATCCTGGAAATGACAAGTGTGAATTGTTCATCCTTGTCATCAACCCAGAAATTATGTTTAATCTTTGTAACCTAGTTAGAACAGATGGCTCAAATTGTTATTGCCACCAAATCTGTAGATTCATCCCTTAAGTGACTAATCATCAAGTTCAAACAGTATAAATAGGAGCTTAATGAGGCATTGTAAATTTATTCAGAGATTCAAAAATTCTCAGATTAAGAAGAAGATATTCAGAACTTTTATTAATACATCTCTCTTAAGTTTAGTCTTCATCTTCTTCATTTCATAACACGTTATCAGCACGAATCTGCTCAAAATATTCAAGAAATCATCATCTCCTGCAAGTATTAACATCAATATCTATTATCTTCTTTTACTACTCAAAACAGAAAATTATTCTGAATTTTTAAATTAAACTTCCATCATATACGTATGAAAAAAAAATAAAAAATATATAGATACCATACATACCTTTGGGAATAAGTTGTTTCTTTAATTGAACTTCATATACGTACTCTCTTAAAAGAAATAAGGGAAGAGATAGGAACTAATAAACAAAACCTTACATGCCTCAAGAGAGCAATCCTAAGTGTGAGTATGAGAAAGCAAATTAAAATGAAACGTAATTCATTATATTTTAAATTAGCTAGCTAGATAGAGTCACGGGTCTTTCAAAGTCTGATGCACATGTATAAGTCCAAACAGTATTATTATAATGAAATAGTACTTCGTAGTAATACTTGAATGATGCCATCCACTAGCTAGTCACGAGACATATTTCGTTTCTTTCAAAAAATAGTTACAAGTCTCTCGAACATATAAACAGAGCATATACATTAAAATGTTAAAATTGATCAGATCATTTTATTTTTTTTATTAGTCGGTGAACTATAAAATACTAATACCAAAACGCATAGTCAGATCATCACATGCATTTATCTTTTCCGTTTTTGACATATGTACACTACGTATTTCAATTAATTAATACGTAGGTTTAGTTACAAATTAGATGTAAAATTTACACCCTTCACGTTTTATATTTTAATCAAAGATACAAATAAATTTATGCACGATTGATAATTTTAAATCAATGACTCGATCAACTTTTAATTAATATAGCAAGAAAGTTTTCCTAACATAAGATACAAGGTCACTAGTTTGCATGGCCATTTGTCTTATTATCACGGGTTGCATCTGTATTAAAACTCTCTGATCTAGAGCATATCTCAATATCATGAAACTACACCACCGTATAACTTTCATATATCTTCTTATTATCATGAGTAAATGAATAATTACATGACTATCATAAGCCTAGCTTGTTAGGTGAACTCGGTTGTTATTCTTAGATCAATACAAAGTTTATTTTACACCATGATCACATTTAACAAAATTGTCTAGAAATTATATATTCTAATTTGAATTAAACTTCACTATATAACATATGTAGTATTATTTAGTCTTATATTAATTATGGATTCTAATTTGAGTTGATCTCATGAATTATAACTTCAAAGTCTTTTAAACTACTTATTATATACGGAGTACAACTTACATTTAAATCTCATGTTACAATAATAATATTAAATTAACAATTTTGTAGAACATCATGGCAAACATAAGCAAAAGAGAATTTGATGTTCTTGATCTATCTGGTCAAAAATACCTCGAATGGAAAGTTGATGCTCTAGCACATTTAAAGGCTAATGGTCTTGAAGACACTATTGAGGCTATTAATCAATCATCTTCCCAGGATAAAGCGAAAGCTATAATTTTTCTCCGTCACCATCTCCATGAAAGTCTCAAATCTGAATATCTCTTGGTCGATGATCCAAAAGAATTATGGGACAATTTACAGGAGGGGTATGGCCACCAACAAAATGTACTTTTACCAAAAGCTCAGTACGATTGGATCAATTTAAGATTCCAGGACTTTAAATCTATCAGTGACTATAATTCTGCTATGTTCCAAATAACATCCAAATTAAAGTTATGTGGACAAAAAGTCACTGATGCTGATATGTTGGAGAAAACCTTTTCTACTATGCATATCTCTAATATGCTACTACAACAACAATACAGAGAAAAGGGTTTTAAAAAATACTCCGACTTAATATCAGTATTATTAGTAGCTGAGCAAAATAATGACCTTTTGATGAAAAACCACAATTTGAGACCCACCGGTTCTAGTCCTTCGATTTATGGTCCTTCTAGCCATAATTTAGCCACTGAATCAAATGCAACACACAGTGGCCCTCGAAGGCATTTTAAACGTGGGCATTATAGTGGTCATAATAACAAGTCTCACAGAGGATATAAACAGGTCGAAAGACCAAATTACAAGGGCAAGGGCAAACAAAAGGCCCATCAAATAAATCGCCTTACAAAAACCTCGGTAAAGACGACTTGTTATAAATGTGGCATGACGGGGCATTGGGCTAACAAATGTCGTACTACGAAACATCTGGTGGAGTTATTTCAATCTTCCATGAATTTGAACAAAGGCAATAATATGGAAGCTAATTATGTCAATGACACAGCTCCATCTCTGCCAAAATTTGACGTGTGTGATTTTTTCGCGGATGATGCCATTATGGATGATGCTTTTGCCTTAAACCAAAATGTTACTAAATAAAATAGTAGACTCCTCATGTTGTACAATACTACAATACTAGTTTTATGTACTTTTTCTTTCTTCCCCTTTTTATTTTGTTTTTAATTAAATATGTATAATGTATGTACTCTTATGTTAAATAAAATGCATAATTTGTGATCAAGCTAATGTTTATTTATATATATTGAAGATATGGATCATTCAAATGATAAAGAGCTATGTCTGATAGACAGCGCCACAACGCATACCATTTTGAGAAATAAAATATATTTTTCTCAACTGACTTTAGTTGAAGCTAGAGTCAATACAATATCAGGTGTTGCGAAGCTCATTGAAGGCTCTGGGAAAGCATATGTGATGCTCCCTAACGGGACAAAAATTATTATAAATGACGCTCTATACTCCAGCAAATCGCGGAGAAATTTATTAAGCTTTAAAGATATGCGTCAAAATGGTTATCACATAGAAACCATGAATAATATCTTTGTCTTACAACAACTAAATCTGGCACTAAATATATTTGTGAAAAAATGCCAGCATATTCCTCAGGACTATATTTCACATATATTAGTCCATTCGAAATAAACTTGGTTTCTAACACAAAGTTATATGATCGGAAAACATTCATGTTGTGGCATGACCGTTTAGGTCACCCAGGCCAAGTAATGATGCATAAAATCATTAAGACTTCACTTGGACACCCATTAAAGAATATCAGGGTTCCAGTATCAAGTGATTTTCCTTGTAAGGCCTGTTCTCTTGGAAAAATGATCATCAGGCCTTCAATGAACAAAATTGCAACTGAATCACCTGCATTTTTAGAAAGGATTCAAGGAGATATTTGTGGGCCGATAGCCCCACCATGTGGACCATTTCGATATTTTATGGTGTTGATTGATGCTTCAACACGTTGGTCACATGTTAGTCTTTTATCGACTAGAAATTTAGCATTTGCTAAACTCCTTGCTCAAATCATACGATTAAGAGCTCATTTTCCGGATCATTCTATAAAGAGAATCCGACTTGACAATGCAGGAGAATTTACATCCCAATCATTTAACGACTATTGTATGTCGATTGGGATTGATGTGGAGCATCCTGTTGCTCATGTCCATACACAAAATGGTCTTGCTGAATCTTTGATTAAACGATTACAATTAATCGCTAGACCATTATTAATGAAGTGTTATTTACCTTCATCAGCTTGGGGACATGCTATTTTACATGCAACAAATTTAATTCGGCTTAGACCGACTGCATATCATGAATATTCTCCAATGAAATTAGTTACTGGACAAGAGCCAAACTTAGCACACATTAAAATATTTGGTTGTGCTGTTTATGTTCCGATTGCTCCACCTTATCGTACAAAAATGGGTCCTCAAAGAAGGTTGGGAATTTATGTTGGATTTGAATCTCCCTCAATAATCAAATATCTTGAACCGATGACTGGTGACTTATTCACCGCACGGTTCGCTGACTGTCATTTCAATGAGACAGTATTCCCAACCTTAGGGGGAGAAACTAATAAATCGGACCCAAGTACGAAAGAAATAACATGGAATGCAACATGATTATCACATCTTGACTCAAAATCAAATATATGTGAGCAAGAGGTGCAAAAGATAATCCATTTACAAAATGTTGCAAATCAGTTGCCTGATGCATTCACAGACACAAAGAAAGTGATAAAGTCACATATTCCTGCCATAAATGCCCCTGCCAGAATCGAAATCCCAACAGAGAATTCTGACAAATCTTTT